TATGCAGGAACTTTGAGTGTTGGGCGCAGAAAGGCTTTCTGTGTTTGAACAAAGGTCTGTGCAATTACAGATACCAACTCACACAGAGCAACTTTTGTTCCGCTGCGCTAGGAAGGAGGTTGAAAGGGGGAATGAAATGTGTTGACCTACCAACTACTTCCTATCTCTGCTGATCTGGGGCTTGGAGCTGTGCTGGATTTGTGGAGGCAGCAATAATGAGATCAGGCAGGAAGGGCATTTGTGTCTCTCTGCAACACTTTAATCTTTCAGTGTCTTCAGATTGAATCAGAGAATTGCCTCATGAATCGTAAAATGGAGAAACTTTTTGGAATGGAAGTTGTATCTGCTAATCACAATGGAGCTCATGCTGGAAAAGACTGAGAGTGAACAGTTCTGTACTCAAACACAACTCAGATAACCCAAAGTGTTAAGGAATGGCACATGGTCAGTCTCAGAAATGCTTTTGTGGTGGGACACCTTTCCAGCACTGGTCCAGCTCACTGGAGAGATAAATTGCAGCACAGCAGGTTGGCTGAAGATACAGTGCCAAAATAATTGGCAATGTAAATGGGCAACATTCCTCTGCTGCTGTTCTTGAATCGTGCTAGCAATAAAATCGGACCAGACAAGTTAACTAGCCTTGTAAACGAGGCAAAATTAGCTCTAACCTTACGTCCTGCACCGATAACATACTGGAAGCATCGATCATGTGGATATTGTGGTTGATAGCAGCATCAATCTAGACCAGTTTATATAAATGAGTGGCTTTATCTGATTTTTGTGGTGGTCAAAAGCAGAAATCTTCCTAGTGTCGTGGTGAAATGCAGGATTTGGCCCTGCAGTCAGGATTGGAGCTTTTGGCAGGGAAGCAGTGCAAGCCTCGATTAGAAAACCTTGTCTTAGCCCAACAGCAGCAAAACCCTTCGCTCTGAGTCCCCTCCGACCTCGGGCCATGTCTCATTAGCAGATTAAGGCCAGAGTTAAACGAGTCCTCCGGGAGCAGAGAGAGCAGTGTGTGCTGAGCCTGCCCCTCCAGCCTGAAATGGTTTGCCTAAGGTCAGATAAGGAGCTATGGGACTTGCCGGATCTAGAGATAAGGTTTGTTTTGCTGAAAAAAAAATCTCCTCGTGAATAAAGCCTGGGAAAACGGGTGATGTCACAGCCCTTTCAAGTTAATGACGAGAAGGGTGTGCTTAGGTTGCCGAGCCATCAGAAATCTCTTCCCTGCCTCCAGTGGGGGAAAACTCCTGCCCTGCTGCCTCTGCAGCCTTTCCCACCCCACCTGCCTCCCGCAGGGTCACCCAGAGGTAAACTCGGGGCAGGAAACCTGGCAGGGGATTAACCCCCTCCCCGGGCTCCTGCCCTCGCCAATTTTCTGGTCAGTGCCTCTGAGAAAGGAGAGCGTGGCTGGTGCAGCAGGGAGGGGCAGGGGAGGAGGACGAGAGATGGATGAAGGGGGAGAAGAAAGAAGGGTTGGGATTCTTTCCAGGACGGAAAACTGTCTGTCCAAGAATTTATCCAAAACACAAATGAAATATCCCCCTCTATCCACCACGGAGTTATTGGTGGCTGTGCAGCATCCTGACGGGCTGGGGAATCAGGGACACTGTGTCTCTCCTCTCTTACATTCCTCTCTGGTTTGCTCTGTCCAGACAGGAATGTCTGTGTCTGTAGGAGTTATTCTCTCCAGGACTCAGGCTCCAGTTGGGATACACTTATTGCCAATTTAGTCTTATACTTCAGAAGGGAAGGAGATGCAGACCTGACTCTCATGTCTCCTTTGAAAGCTGCTCCCTAATAAAATGGACTGTTTTCTAAACTGCAGATCTAGGCTCTTCAAGAGCCCTTGAATCCCAACTAGGGCAGGATAAAGCTGAATTATGCCTATACTGATCTTGGCTGAGCAAAGAACCAGATTTTTACTTGTGTACAAAGGGAAGGGCCAAGTGCACAGTTAGGGTAACTGGAGCTCGTGGGGCAGCAGCAAAACAGACCCATCAGGTCAACAGGGAGCAGAAGGGTCTGTTCAGAGCACTCAGAACATGGATGATTATCTCTAATTGCACATTTTGCAGGAGATGAATTCAGGAGAGCAAAGGACTGATGTGTCCTTATTCAAAGGGCTGAATTCAGGAGAGCAAAGGACTGATGAGACTGGAAAGTCTCAGGAGTAATGACCTAGAAAACATACATAGGTGAAACTGCTGCAAGCAAGAAAAGCAGAAGGATTGCCTACACAGAGATCCAGACAAAACCATCTGTAAAGATGTTCAGGAGCAACAGAAGCCTCAACTGTGAGGCAAATGCAGCAACTACAGCCTTGTCTCATTGTAAGATCTGATGTCCTGGGAGCCCAGAGGGAAGTCTGTGCCAATTTAATCTGGCCAGATGTAAGAGAGAAATTGAAAGTCTCACATGATCTCCTAGGAGCAGTCAAGCTTGAATTCGGACCAAAAGCACGTTGTATTGAGTTTGGAGTTTTATCCATCTGTAAAAAGTAGCAGAAACAACAGCAGGAGCCCTCACTTCCCACTGGGTCGTTAGGGAGCTTTCACCTCTCACGAAGGAATGGTCTTTTATTTACTGCTTTTCTCTTACACAGGCTGAAGCCTTCACCTGAGTGAGAACAGTATCAAGGACATGAAAACTTCCCATGGAAAAAAATCAGTGCTGAAGTTAATGTTGTTGGGAGGATAACCAGCAATTTCTATCTTCCCCAGATGGCCCAGATTTTCACGGGGTCACCTTGCAAGACTTGCCTGTAGGATATTAAAGGTCCCAAAGAAACTGTTGGGGCATAAAAAAATATTATATCCAAGAGTTGCATCACAGACAGATGTTGCTTTGACAGGTCATCCTTTGCTTAACTGTTCTTCCATGTATGTTTCCTGACATTCAATGCATCAGTGGCAGCTCTGGGGAATAGGAGGCTGTGTGGATGTTTGAAACAGATTAAAGTGAAGAGTGAGGGATCTACTTTTTATTTTGCAATAGCAGTTTGAAGCCCTGGAGTGTTAGGTATGTGAGGGCAGTTTCTTGCCTTACCCCCCTCATCTGACACCTTATTTCTCTTCCTCTCTTCTTCCTCTCCAACCTTCCATCATTCTTCAATGAGTCACTTAATTTTTTAGTGTCTGCATTGACTGATCCAACCCTGCAAAGAGGCTGAAGTTCACCCTGATGCAAACTCTGTGGGCATCAAACTTGATGCTTACAGTTGACATTTTGAAGTGTTTTTTCCTCCCCTTTCCACAGAGATGTAGGTTGTGAAGGAGAGAGCAAGTGTGCATGTGCTTATGCCTGAACAGTATTTTGTAAATATTTCCTGAAGGCTTGTGAAATTTCTCACATGTTCTTGATTTCCCTTCAAGTCTGCAAAGTGTGCATAAAAAATATCCCTCAGTCTAGCCCTGAGTTCAGGAGTGAGTAAATAGCCATCAATTTTACAAGCTTTGTGTAGATGCCAAGCCCTGATGGCCAGGGGTGATATGCTGAGACTTCCAAGCCAGGCCAACACACAAGCTGCAATTTTAGCCATATGCTTTCTTGCAGTTTTTAAATCTCATCCCAGCTTTTTTTCCTTGAAAATTACTTCCCCTGAGATAAGATTCCTCATGAAATGGCTCTGGCATATTTATACATGCTCTGGAGTTTCTGGTTAACCAACTCTTAGTCCTTTGGTGAGGCTGAGGGTATAAATCAGTCTGAGTGTGTTTTATGTTCACAGATGTGCCAAGGACTTAGAAATGGGATTAATTGTAAGGTAACTCATTCAGGAAATGGCTAAGGACACAGGTACCTCTGAGTTTTAGCCTTGCTTAGGCACACTGAAGAGCTCTTTGACCCTGCCAGGGATTAGTTTTAGTACCAGTTATGAGATAAGCTTAACTAGTCCTTAAAAATAAGCATATTAAAGCTCTCTGCAAGAGGTTTGTTGTGGGGAAGGAATATTGCACATATAATACATAATTTGTTATGTTTATCCTGCTGTTATTAAGTTAATTGCAGGGGTTGAGTTATAAGCAGTGATGTAATTTAGACTTTCTTCTTGCTGTTCTTTCAGCTTTTGGAAAACTCCAAGATTATTTAATCTTTAAAGTTTCCGTGTGCTGATTTTTAACCATTAAAAAAAACAATGCACCAGGCAGATTCACACTCAGTGCACAGTGGTGTGAGAAGCAGCTGTAATCCTGGATCACATCTGCTTGGAAATAGCACCATAATTTTGCATTTTTCAACATAGGAACCTTTTCTTCTTTGTCTTTTGGCTGTTGCTGCTGAAGCCACAGAGCAGTCAACTGATTGCAGTAACATACTCCATTCACTACTTTATTTTTTGCAGAATGACAATGACTCGTCATCCATAACATGCTGAATGCTGAGAAGACTTAGGTGAAGAGCAAAAAGGATAGATCAATTCATGTATAGATGTCTTAGGTAACAGAGATGAAATTATATTCCTTCCAGTAGCCTTAAAAAAAATTAGAAAATAAGGTTATATACTCAGAAAAAAAAATATATTGGCTAAATCTGTTTAGCTGGAGATTAATGTTTGAAGGACAGTGGTGGGAGCAGCAGCTCATATGTGAGACTGATGTTGTTGGCTCACAGGAAAGTCTGTGATTTTAGAATGAATTTATCTTTCTCTACATGTGTATAGCACAAACAGGGATAGATTTAAATCCCACGATACAGAAAATTTGCCAAGTGTTTCATATATTGCTTATACTAGGCTCAAGGTCTGGTTTTTGTGTTAGCTCTTGTATTGCTTGTAAAGACCCTGGAGAGAGAGGGATGCAGGTACCACTGTGATACTCCTGTCCCCTCCCCATGCCACAGAAAATCTTTGCTAGTCTTAAACGAAGCAAAACAACAGAGCTGGCAGTGAAAGCACATCAAAGATTTTCGTCAAGCTGCTGAAGTCAGAAGCATGTTTTAATTATTCTAGATTTGAAGCAGAAGCACGTTCGACTCTAACTGAAGTTTCTTGCTGCAGATCATCCTGTGGGGTCGGACTGAGAAGTGCCTGAAGGAGACCACTGAGGAAATCAGGATGATGGGGACAGAGTGCCACTATTTCATCTGTGATGTAGGAAATCGAGAGGAGGTCTATCGACAAGCCAAGGCCGTGAGGGAGAAGGTCAGTGTGGGGGGAGACACTGGTTGGGGGCAGAATGTGAACAGGCTGGAGCACAAGTCTCATGAGGAGCAGCTGGGGGAGCTCAGCCTGGAGAAAAGGAGGCTCAGGGAGAACCTTCTCACTCTCTCCAGCTCCCTGCCAGGAGGTGCAGCCACGTGGGGTCAGGCTCTGCTCCCAGGGAACAAGGGAGAGGACAAGAAGGAACAGCCTCAAGTTGTACCAGAGGAGGTTTAGGTTGGATATTAGGGAAAATCTTTTCATGGAAAGGGTTGTAAAGCATGGGAACAGTATGGCCAGGGAAGAGATGGAGTTACCATCCCTGGAGGTGTTCAAAAAACACGTGGATGTGATGCTTGAGACCATGGTGAACACAGTGGTGGGTTGGTGGTTGGATTTGGTGGTCCTAAAGGTCTTTTCCAGCCTGAATGATTCTGTGATTCTATATTTAGTGAGAAAAAATACGTATTTGGAAAAAGGAAGGGTGACCAGATTATATAGTACAAAGTCTACCTGCCTCTCTGAAGTGACCCAAAGGATTACAAGGCAAGAATGTCAAAAGCTCTGAAAATAACAATGTATTTAGGCTGTAAAAACCATTCAGCTCCGATGGTGACTGCTGATTTGTGAGCAGAGATATTCGTTGTCACAAGTAATTTGCTTTTCTTGCAGGTGGGTGACATCACCATCCTGGTGAACAATGCTGCTGTGGTCCATGGGAAGAGCCTGATGGACAGCGACGACGATGCACTGCTCAAATCACAGCACATAAACACCCTGGGCCAGTTCTGGGTAAGACAAGATCTTGTATCCCATGTACACAGACTTGGGAAGGACAACCTACAGCCAGTACACACTTGGACTTTCTCAGTGATGCTTGGGAAAATCAGCCTGTCAGGAAAACAAGGGAGAAATAACAGTGTGGGGGCAGAGGCCAGAGGAAAGAAGGCTAAAATAAATATCATTTTTCCAGTAGTAACTCAGAATTTGATGTCTTTATTCCCATTCTGTGATTTCTGATAAAACACTTGTTGTTTTTTGAGAAAGCCTGAGCTCCCAGGATGCTTTTCTGTAGGGTGATGTATAGGGAATGTCAGAGGAGCTTGGGACTATGTTTCTCAGGGAAGGAAGCTAGCATGGAACTCATTCCATTTTGAATTAGACAATAGTAATAAAAAAAACCCTTGTGGTTTCATCACTTTGTGGAATACTTTATCCTGCAGAAGTTCACAGCACTCTGTTCATGGCCTTTATCTATGGGTGCTGCTTACTTACACGCAGGTACTGCTTATTTAGCTTCTAGGAAAGATTTTGTTATGTTTCTACACAAACTTTTCCTGCTTAGAATCTCTCACAACATGACAAACCACAAGGTCCTCTGCCACTCCTTTCCTTACAGAAATATAAATAAACAGAACACTTTAGGTTGTTGTCTCCACGTCACCTTATATTTTTCAGTAACGGTTGTTTTTGTTGTGTCTCTGCTGAACAAACCTTTTTCTTTTTCTCCTTTAACTCTGTTGATCTTCAGACCACCAAAGAATTCCTGCCAAGGATGCTGGAGCTGCAGAATGGACACATTGTTTGCCTGAACTCTGTCCTGGCCTTGTCAGCCATCCCTGGTGCTATTGACTATTGCACCTCCAAAGCCTCATCCTTTGCCTTTATGGAGAGCCTGACCCTGGGGCTGCTGGACTGTCCTGGAGTGAATGCCACAACAGTCCTTCCCTTCCACACCAGCACAGAGATGTTCCAGGGCATGAGAATCAGGTCAGTCCAGGGGAACTAGAATAAAGCATCTCATTTTAAATGAATCATCAGAATACACTCCTAATTAATGCTTCATTTAGTTAGGAGAATTTGATGTCTCATTTGGCTGCCTGGGAACAGAGGGTCACTCTAGGCCACCTGGACTCATCAGACTGGTTCCCTCAGTGTGTTGGCATATTCCTCCAGCCTGTTCTGAGGGAGACATTGGCTTCTACAGAGAGCACTGAAAGCTGTTTTTTCCCTGTGTGTATTTGGGCCATATGCAGCCCCCAAAGAGGGAGGGGAGGCAAGCTGAAATTGAGGTCATGCAAAAGGAACAGTGTACAAATTACTTGAGAATTAACAGTACAAGTTCCTTCTTTATTCATTGAAATACTTCATTCTTTCCCAGTGAAAGGAATGGCAGCCACTTACTGAAGTGAGGCTGTCAGTACCTCCTTTTTACCTCTGGCCAAGAGAACAACTAATGGCTGACCACATTAATCTTTTACAATGGACAAAATAACCTATTAGTATAGTTTGTGCTCTCTTAGTCAAGAAAATATGCAGTCTCGAGCTGTTGCTGGGGCTGGGAAAACCTTTGTGTTTGGTATTAAATGCAATGGAAGAAAACATTTGTCTTTCACCTGTCAAGAGTTTGACTCAAGCAAAGAGCAACTGAGAACAAAGGGAAAAACACCAGCACTGAAAAGAGAGCATTTGGTATTGGTTTGCATTCAGCAAGCCTTGAATCAAGGCTCTGCACACTCTGCCACTTCTCCCTAAAGGCACCAGCATGTACATTCTTAACTGTTTAGCTAACCCAGCCATACTGGTTGGAACTGGGCTTGCTGCTTTCAGGCTTTTTGGCTGGAACTGGAACTTTCTGCCTTCCCAGCTGCTTTGGGCATGTTAGAATGCCAATAACCAGTGATGGCTTAGTGAGTGGTATCACTTGGACAGTGATATCTTAATGAAAAGGCTTGGTTAACAAATTATTATTCTATTTATTTTTAATTTATTCAGGTTTCCTAGTCTTTTTCCTCCTCTCAAGCCAGAGACAGTGGCTAGGAGGACAGTAGAAGCTGTTCAGATGAATCAAGCCTTCCTGCTCCTTCCATGGACAATGCACGTTCTTGTCATCCTCAAAAGGTAAAGATTCCCTTTGCCCAGCAGTAGCCTGGCCAGGTAGGGAAGATTCCAGTCTCTGTGTCTGTCCACTAAGGCAAATCCTGGGCTGTAACTGCTCTCCAGGATCAGATGGAATCATCCCTTCCCTAGAAATACAATCATAGAAACAAAAGGACTTGCTCAGATTCCCTTTGGAGATGTTCTCCCTGGGTAAAACCCCGTTATGACACCACTTTCACTCCCAAAATTTGGATTCCTGTGGTCTGAGCTGTGTTTGTTTCTAGGAAATTTCTTAACATACACATGTGGTTGATGTTGATTTAGGAAGTGCCTCGTTGGGCTCTGTGCTTTCTCCTGAGCAGGATTTCTGTGCTGTGAGGTCTGCACATCCCAGCTGTATGCAGAGAGCATTGCTGGTCTTACAGCACTGAGACTATTAAACCAATATTTTTGTGTATGATTAGGACAGGAATTTTAAGTTCTCTAAGGAATAAAAAAGTCATAACTTCATATCCTGAGACAACCAAAGAGAAAGGACATTGAGCATTGTGTTTCCATGGCAGTTTGCACTAAAGCCTTTGAAAAAGCTGCTGCAGTCAGGAACTGAAACAAGGCCATGAGATTTCTGTGGAAAATAGTTCCAGTATTGCATTTCATAGAAGAAAATATCATTCACAAAAAATGTTGTGCTCTGAATGTAAAATATAGAAGAAAAGTTCCCAGAAATTCTACAGGCTAAAAGTGGTCTGTTCTCCTTCTCCTTTACTGTAAGAATGAGTCCTTTATTTTCCATTTCAGTAGCTGTCAAGAAATCAGATCTCTATCCATACCTTAGGATAAGAAGGCCACATGACTACACAATCAGGTGGCAAGCTAACCAAAGACCTCAGGTTAAATCTGTGCATTTCAGAGTAAAATATTTGAGAGGAATAAACCATGATGGTATTTGCCAAAGTTACAGCTTTTCCAGACTCTTTTGGATAAATATTTCTGTAGAGAAGGAGCAACTGGATGGGACTTTGTCCCTCTAGGCCTCCTCCCAGCAGGATGCTGATGCCTGTTCTGTCTGTGTGCTCTCCCTAGCTGATTTTTGAGCACATGTATATTTATGTATGTAAATTCATATTTACACATCCTCTAATTAGGACAGACTAAGGGATTTGTCTCATCTGCATGTTTTCTTTCTGCTTCTCTTCCAGCATTCTCCCTCAGGCAGCACTTGAAGAAATCCACAAGTTTTCTGGGAGCTACACCTGCATGAACACTTTTAAAGGCAGAACATAGACCTGGTGGCACTAGGACTGTTCTTCAGTGAACCCAACACAAGCATGAAAACCCTGACAGGACTGTGAATCAGCAGTCTTGGCTTTTAGCCTGTTCATGTGACTTGTGCTGCTCTGAGGCACCACATTTCTTGCAGGTCATATCCATAGTAACATGACCTTTGCACAGGATTGAGTGACTGGACTATGGGACCCTTGGAAAGAAAAACAAAACAACAAAAAAAAAGTGGGAAATGTTTCTATGATGTTTAATTCTTTAGAGTCCAATTGTTAAATCTCATAGTTCTTAAGATGTAAGTTTTGTTTCTGGAGTGTCTTCTTTGGGCTGTCCCAACTGAGAGGCAGCACATGACACCCCAAACATGCTTTGTCCCCTCTCTCCAGAGGAACTGCCACTGGTTTCACTTCAGCTTTTCAAATGTGGAATCCAAAAATTACTTTGAAGAACTAAAAGTTATGGACATTTGATGGAAGCTTCCTTCTCTTACTTCACTTTTCATCCCATGATGAAGCTGTTCTCAACACACATTGAGGAAGGAGCTATGCCTTCTTTGCTAAAGGCCACCCAGAACTTCTGTCTGGGCCCAGAAAAGCTGTTGTACTCCCCCTGTGGAGACTGGGGAGGAAGGCTCAGGCAGCAGAGCAGACAGTTTGAATAGTGGAAGATTCTTCCTGTCACTGAACCTCATATATGAAATTTGTCATTCTGAATTTTTGTTGTTCATTTATGAAAAAATATAAAAATATTTTTAGCATTAATCCCAGATTGCCACACATGTAGGCAGCAGCACATTGGGGGTGAGGTAAATCTAGGCCTAAAACTAGAGCCTGCCTATACAAACTGACATAATCCATGCAGAGGAAAATCCATTGTATCAATCTGCACAGCCAAGTGGAATAATGCTCTAAAAATAGAAGAGACAGTACTGTAGTGCTGATGAAATGTGAAGTTTGGAAGCACAGTTAGCAAAGACCTGATTAAATGCACGTTGAATTCGACTGGGAATTTACCCATTGTGTTTTAGGGGCATTGAGTCAGGCACTGCTCGGCCAAAAGTGATGAATATGCTTGGCCTGAGATGCCAGGAGCAGCTAGACATTATTTATTTTTGTCCTGATATATTCTCTTTGACAGCCCAGGAAGAGCCATGCTGCATTCCAGTGCCAGATGCAGAGTGCAGCACGAGGCATAGTGGGAACACATTGGAACACTGCTAAAAGAGGAGTTAATGTAATTGCAAGACAGGAAAGTAGCAAGTCTAACTGGAGAGACCTGACTGAAGTGCCTCAAGGAAGGACACGTGGTTAAAGGAGGGAATTTAGGGCTCCTGACTTGAATTTCAGGCTTTTCCATAGATGTCCTGTGTGTCCTGGGGCAAACTGCATTATCTCAAGGTGCAACCTGACCTGCAAAGCAGAAACTTCTAGTGTTTCCCTACCTCAAAAGTTGTCAGTTTGACTACCTAAATGTCTGTCAGAAGCTCAGCAGATTCAAATGGAATATGCTATAGAAAGGAAAAGCAGTATTTGTTCATAAACCAAGAGGTTCCTTAGATGAGGAAAAAAACCATATGCCAAAATAGATCATTTCCTAAAAGAGACCTGAGTTACAGCAGAAGAGTTGTGAGCTGTGTTTGAAATGCTCCTTTGGATCAGCCATGTAGAATGGAGACTTACTACTGAGGTGCAAAGGTGGGAATGTTAAAATCAGAAGGTCTGACCTCACTGCAGAGCAGTAGATTTATCTCTTCTGGAGCAGTTCCAGATGAAGATGCTGCCAGAAGTGCCACTGGTATGAGTCCCTGTGCCTGGGTGGGTCAGTGCTCTCCTCCTGAGTGCACAACTCTAAGCTGTAGCACTGTGCCAGCTCTGAGCAGGTTTCTTCCAATGGAGTGTTGTTTGGAATTCCTGGATGTCTGAGGCTCTCTGGAGAGGATGAAAAGAAACTTTGATCTCTGTGATTCTGAAGCCCACACTAAGAGAGGCTTTCAGCTTTATTTTTTTGTCAATTTTTTTTGAGAAGAAACCCAGTTCATTGAAAACACAAATGCAATGAGGGGAGAACCCTTCCAGGAGGTGCCAGGAGTACTGAAGGTACCAGATTTATCAAGAGAGGCCTGGGAGGGGAAGGGATGGTGACATTTAGCTGTCTGTGCACACTGATCCATTCTAGTACTCATTACTCATGGTCAGGCTTTGCTTTGAGCAGTCTTGGTGAAAGAGAAGACCCACAGTGTCCCCCAAAATGAAACCCTTATGCTGAGGTTCTGTTTACTGGTAACTTCCTAATGCAAATGTGGCATAAAAACATGCATTGAAATCCCCATTCATCCCCAAATCCTGTCCCTTAGATGGATCTGCTCTTTTCCTGCACCACACAAAAGATGTTCCCTATCTTCAGAGATTTTCTCACACACTAAGTGCTGTTGATTTCTTTCTAATGAATATAAACAAGTCAGAATGTAGCTGAGACTCATCATCTCACTCCTATCATCCACACACACACACAACTTCCCTCTCTCTTCCCTCAGGGTCCCAGAGTGGACAGAGGGTCAAATAGCAGTCACAGTGGGGGAGAGGTATGCAGCAAGCAGAAAATAATGAGGAAAACATTGACTTTGCTTTTCAGATAGTCAGGAAGAGTTGAGTAAGAGAGAGAGTTCCTTCCCCTGTGAGTGTTGGGAGATAGAACACTCTCCATCCAGGGAGCAACTGGCAAAAGATAGAACACTCTCCATCCAGGGAGCAGCTGGCAAGCATGGATGGATGGATGGATGGATGGATGGATGGATACGAAGGCTTTTTTAATAGAAAGGCTCCTCTGGAATGCCTGCTGAGGTCTACTGCCCCTTTCCACATAAGGTTAGTGTTGGGTAATCTTGAAGTGCTGCAAATGTGGACAAGCTTTGTTGAAGCCTAAGGCCTTCTCTGAGGAATTTCCGCCCTCTGACTTATTTTCATTTCAGCTTTCCCTGCTCTCTCCACCTCCTCCTGCTCTCCACTGCACCATTAGTTTTTTTCCTTCTGTTTTCCTATGTCATCACTGCACTTTTCCCTGCCACCATCTTGAAGCCAGATGTCATACTAAGAGCCTGGAGTAAATCGTGATCAGGGTATGCATTTATTATCCTGCTGGAGGAATCTGGGTGAAGCTGTAGGAGAAGGTCACAGGAGTTTCATATGAAATTACTTTTCCTTGCTCCAATCTGTGAAGAAGTTGAAGAGCCCTTACTATGGCTTTTATACAGGAGATTGCTGCTGGTTTCAAACTTGAATGATAGAGAAACTTGAGATGTTCTGGGATGTGTTCCTCTGACACAAAATGCCTTATTTAAATGGGAGGATTTTTCAGTTCCAGGGAGTTTCAGGGACTCTATTTATACAAAGCAATTGTCAGAATCAGCGAGGCAGGGCAGGGAGAGGAGGAGTCATTTGTAAAGGAAACTGATCCCTCATGTTCAATATTTCATTTTGTGGTTTTTGATGAGGAAAGAAATGCACCTTCATGTACCCTTGGTGAACTTTAAAAAGGTCCTTCCAGCTGATGGCATGTTCTTAGCAGGATGAGGAAAAGGAGTGAGCCCTGAAAGTGGGAGCTATACCCTACCCACTCACTCATTGTTCTGCTGAGGTTAAAAAGCAACAAAGTCCATCCCTCTAGTTCTTCTAGAACTGCACAGAAAGTGCCTGGGCAAGTGATTCTGATGTTTGCAAAGAGAAACTTGTTGTACTTTTATGTAATGTGTTAATTAGTGTGGGTGGGTATGATCAGATCTAGTCTTGCAAGCCTTTCCGACAACTCCCTGAACACTCCCACCTTCAGATATTAACAGATAGCACTGCACTTGCCAAAGCTCATAAAAACCCAGTAACAGACTCAATGCAGGCAGAGCATAAGTGGGTGCATTTGTTTCACAGGGAACACATCTGCTTGTGGCATTAATGTGGCCTAGTGCTTTCCTTGAGCTGAAATGCAACTCTTGAGGAAGGAATACAGGGTGAGCTTGGATCATCTCTTTTGGTTTTATTTCTTCATGTGGTTTTAATAAACTTAATCTGGGTGACAGCCACTTTTTTTTTTTTTTTTTGACAGCACTTGTTCATAAATTTGGGGTAGAGCAAGATTATGTCAAAGCCAATCTTTTGCATATTTTCACCAACCAACCAAGCAAGCACCAGCTCAGAGAATCAGAATATTCTGCACTGTGTTTGTATGTCTCACCTCCCCAGCACTGAGATCCTGCAGCCTGGTATGTTTGGAGACTGAGCAAACCTGTCAGTCAGCAGCAGCACTTACACTCTCTAGGGAACAGAATCCTCTTTGTCCAAGTGCTTTTCTGAAGGGGATGTTGAGACGTGAGTAGTGGCAGTCACAGGCTCAGAGAGACATGAAGAAAAGCAGAACTTCACCTTCTCCCTGCAGCTCTTTACCCAGAGTTTCCTGTGGGCACCTGGCAATTCAGTCACTTTTCTGACTGCTAACCTGTCCCCCCTTCCCTCCCTCTATTCTACTAAGATCACCTTTCTTCAGCACCTCCAGGGAGGTGACAGCTTCCACACAGACAATCTGTCTGTGCTCTCGAGGAGTCACATCAGCAGGTGATGTGTTAGAGAGCAGAGCAGAGTCTGTTCTGATGGGGCTGAGCTACCCCAGCCTGAAACCCACAGGTGGAAGCCACAGGACACAACTTGAATGTTGCCTGTACCATAGAAGGCAGTGAGTTCCCCCTGTTCCTGTCATCTTTTCTTGAAACATAACACCCTCTTTTGTTTATGTAACAGATCCCTAGAGCAGAAACACACACTGCTCCAGCCTGCCTGGACTGGATACAGCTAAAAGCACAGCCCTCTGAGGAGACAATTTGTATCTTCACACCTTCCCTTGGAGTCCAAACTTATTAGTTCCTTACACTCTCCTTTGCTATTGGCATCTTGACATTAATGCAGAAAAACCATGAAGCAAGTGTATGATGATTTTTTTTTATGCACTGTATAATGATTTTTTTTCCCTGCATAAATCTAGAACAATTCCTCCTTAAATGAGGGAAGAAAGAAGTCTAATTGGAGCTGGAGGGTGAGAGAAAAGTGGATGAGAAGACAAAATAGAGGCTAGATGCAATGTTAGGGGGAGTGTGATGGCCCTAAGCAGGCAGAGGCGAGACACCACTTCACATTCCTGGAGTTATATAATAATAGAGGCATGTGATTTCCATCCAAAGTCTATAAAAGAAGTGTTGTTACTCCTGCTCATTCTGATGGGTCACCATGCCCTAAAAAACAGCCTATTAACTTTGTAGCTTGCTGGCTCAGAACACCCCAATGCACTGGTTACTGATTGATGTCTCCTGCTTTTTTTTTTTTGAGGGAGGGAAAAGCAGCCCAAACATGGAAAAAAGAAGGAAGGGTCAGTTTGACTCCCCACTCACTTTTTCCTAGCCAGCTGCAGAGCCATCCATCATGCCTAGGTTTTA